CTTCACGTGTTTCGAAGTCTCACCTCTCATCAGGAACATGTGTGGTAGCTTAAACTGAAATGAAATGCTCTTCATCTATATGGCCGTTATAACACAACATGCCTGAGTACGCTAGAACCGACCTTTATTTGAAGCAACAAGATGTTAGGAGACTTCGATGGCGAAGTATGTGAAAACCCAAAACACGTGTAGAACAATGGTGGATATCGAATTAAAAAGAAATCCAATCGTCTACTTTAATTTCAAAGTAATTTTTTTTTAAGTAAGCAGTGCAAAACGTGTTTTTCGAGGGTAAACAGTAGACGTATTGTCGGAATAACACGTTATTCCTAACATCGTCCAGTAGCTTCCAGTAATCTTGGATTTGCAGTTTACCTAATTCGTCATCGAAGAGAAGTCTCCTGATTTCTTGTTGCTTTGTTAAATAGTTTTTTTTATTTACAAACTCACGTTATATTAGCGTAAAAAATATATTAACATCCATAGAATAGTACAAAAATCCAATTTTGTGTAGTGTTATTATTGGTACTAATTATTATTATTGCTACTAAATATCGAATACTCACTTTGGCACTAAACTTTAAGAATAATTCTTTCGTAATGCGTAAGGCGTCTTTTGCCCAGTCCATATATAACCAAGTTATAACCAGTTATAACCAAGCCGCAGTCGCGGGATGGGTGGATCAGGAATCACATAATGGGAAGAATATATTTTAGAGATGATTTCTAGAGAATTTAGTGAGTCTCTAATTATCAGAAAGTTAATTTCAAGACTTTTGTAACATAACATAAGCCTTATATATTAAAAAGAGTTCCACTATTTAGATAATATTAGTCTCCGCTAAATTATTTTTTTTTTATTTCATCCTTTGTTATAAAGTCAGATGCTACATAATGTTCCGCTTAGATCCATCGGCCAATAACTGTTTCAAAGAGGAAAACTTGGAAATTATTGTTTGATATTTAGAATTAATTAAATGACGATTGGTTTCTTTCTTATTTTCTAACAATAGATCAAAATTTATGTGAGGAGAAGATATTAGACAAGGATGGGAAGTTGGCATCTTGCTAGGACAGATTTCGGGAACTTCAATGTTTAATTCATATTTGATTTGTCTGCATCTTTCATAAAAGGGAATGTGGGTTTTCGTGTGCTGAATATTCGAAGAGCGAATGGTTTCGTGTCATTGTACAGTCCTCATGTACATATGAGAGTATTTATTCCTGTTCCTTAATCTAATGGTAGTTCACCGAGTTCGGCCTAAAGACTTATGATATGAATTGTCATAAATGGACCGCATATTATTCTCTCTCATAAGAGCGTTATTTTGATTAGTGCCTAAAACTTTTGTTGAAGCAGACGAGTAAGTATCACATCGATAATCGATCTTGGAGCAGATCAGATTTTATATAATGTGGGTAGAGTTCTAGCGTTCGCTCTCCATTTCGCACCAGAAAGACATTTCAAAATGTTTTGTCTTTTTTGTTGAAATATATTTAATGTGTGTAATGTCCTTCCAGGTTAGAGCTCGATCAAATAATAAACCTAGATATTTAATTGTTTTTACATATTTAAGTGTGTGACTATCAAGTGTTAAAGTAGTTATTTCCTTTATTTGCTGTGATCTCTTTGAGAATATGATGCAGCGAGTTTTAGATGAAGCAAATTGAAAACCACTCCTTTTAGACCATGCTGTAAATTTATCGAGTTTATCTTGTAGTAATTGGGCCATGCTCTGTGTATTGTTTCCCTTTACGAATATTATAAGACCATCCACGTCCAATCTTGCTTAAATGGGTTTATTCATTGATTTGATTATATCGTTAATAGCTATAAGAATAAGCTTCGGGTTGATTACCAGCCTTGAGGTGTGCTATTTTTATTTAGGAGAAAATTTTTAATAAAAGCAATTATATTTCCTTGTTAGCCATATGATTACAGTGTTATCTTAGGATGCCAAGCCATATCAAATGCTATGGTCAAATCAAAATAAGTTGCAATAAATTTTTGGTTGTTACAGAAGGTATTATTAATATGTGTTTCTATCCACTGTATCCACTAAATTGTCGGTGGTTGAAATATGTTTTTGCCATTGTTAAATTACCGGAAAAGTTTAGTAAAAGTGCCGAAATTTAAAATTCCTGTCATTAAATGCTACGTCATAAATTATAAAACGCATTTTTTCCAATATTCATTTTGAATTTAACATCACGTATCTTTCGTATAATCCTGTACGTCGTATTATAATCATGTACGTTTGTGTTCGTAATTTTGAACTTTAATTCAATTTCAAATTCCCCACTTACAAAAAGAACGCGTGCCCCATCGAACACATGTTTTCGTATTTGTAGAAAACGTTTCAAAACACCGGTTTGAAGGAAATTGATTGCTTCCTTGCAGATGCTCTTTGTTTCTGGTGATCATTGACAGAAATAACTTAAGTAGAGGATATTTAAGAACACCTTCAAGGTGAAATGAATGGAATGACATCCTTAGTAATTGGTGCTAAAGGCATAAAAAATTTCAAGAGCACAATATTTATGTGTCGTCACTCCGTCTGCTATCTTGGTTATAAAAAAATGGGAATTGGTACATGCGTCTTTAAAAATTGATTAAATTACTTTATTACTTAAGATATCGCTTTTCTACATTGAGGGAACATGTAATTTAACAGTTTGATTTATGCAAGGTAGATCGTTACCAATTCCAATTCTCCATTAGTTTATGGAATCAATAGAAATAAACAAAAAAAAGTTCGTATGAGAATAATCGATTTTGAGAAAGTTTATAATATTGAGTATCTCAAAAGGTCAACAGATTTTATTTACCTTTCTCTATTAAATAAACATTTCAAATACTCTGCTAGGACCTACTATAAAATATCAGAAAACTTGAAAAAGATGTCGGTAATGGGAAATTCTACTGTTGAATTCTTGCTTCCTTAACTATTTTACATCAAAGTCATTACATACTACTTGTAGAGGACTTAAATTTGTCTTAAAAATAAATATTAAAATTGTTCTACGAATTAAACGCATTCCAAAATTTTATAAAAACAATACATTTGCCATAGTATTGTTGTAAAGGTTTCGGCCACATATAGTGCAGAATGTGTATAACGGGTTGCGTTAGAATTGGATATTAAAAATATTTGAATTTTCAATATTTTTTACATTTACATTAACAATCAACTCAAACGAAAGGCCACCTACCACTGAAGAGGTTACCCAAGCCATTAAAAAGCTTAAAAATAATAAAGCACCAGGAACTGATCTAATTTGTAGTGAGCTCTATAAGAATGGTGGCGACGTCCTGCCACAAGCCACTGCATAAACTTATACTTCTTGTCTGGCAAAATGAGACCATGCCCTGTGAATGGTCTCAAAGCGTGATATGCCCCTTACATAAAAAAGGCGATCAGCTTCAGTGTGACAACTACAGAGGTAAAACTCTGTTAATAACTGCCTACACAAAATATTAGCAAATATTCTCTACGAAAGGCTACAAGTTTACACAGTTGGCATAATTGGAAAATACCAGGCCGGATTTATCCAGAAAAATCAACAATTGACCATTTATTCGTCGACTTCAAGGCCGCATAAGATAGTGTCAAGAGAACAAGAGTACTATACAAATCAAGGTGTGAGTTTGGTATATCAGAAAAACTTCTCTATCTAAGATAAAGGATGGACTCAGACAAGGGGATGCCCTGGCTTGCCTCCTATTTAACATGGCCTTGGAAAAGGCAGTCCGAGACACACGAATTAGATACGGCGGTACTAGGTTACAATAGATCGATACAAATTAGCATATGCTGATGACATTGACATAATAGGGCGTAGCAAGCGAGATGTTGAGCAATATTTTCTAGAATTGGAAACGACGACGAAGCAGGTCGGTCTAATTATCAACGAAGGCAAAACCAAGTACATGTTGGTTACTAAGGATCCTATAGCAAATGAGGAACGGGAAACAGCCTTTGGAAGTCATATCGTTGAACGTGTTGACAGCTTCATATACCAACTACTACCAACAAAACAAGCGAAGAAATTGAGAGACGAATAAACCTTACAAATAGGGGTTACTATGGACTCCAAAAACAATTCCACTTAAGAAATATCCAAAGAAATACTAAAATTATATACAAAACCCTGCGGAGGCCGGTCCTCACATATGGGGCGGAAACGTTAACTCTAACGCAAAAGGATGAAATACTTCTGGGAATATTCGAGCGTAAGATACTTCGCAAAATATTTAGAGCTGTAAACGGTCAAGGGCAGTGGCACAAAAGATATAATTTCGGATTATACCAACTCTTTAATGAACCAGTTGTCGTAACGTTCATTAAACCACAGCGAGATAGATGCACTGGACACATAATACGAATGCGTGACAATAAGATTGCTAAATGGCAAACAACAGAAACATCTATAGGAAAAAGCACAGGCCGACCGTGAATTAGGTGGTTAGAAGAGGTTTATTTCATATGTACATACATATTTTGAGGCTTTTCAGTGCATCTTTCGTGTATATAAGTTCTACTTGTCTTATAAGCTATAAATTAAAATAACCAAATAACTTTTTGTTCTACATATAAAAATAATTCATTTTTGCCACTGAGAATTTGTGTTAGTAGAAAAGTTAAGAGGAAAAATAAGAGACATACAATCTGTTTGATAGTACCTGCAACTCAGGGAGTTCATCGTTGGGTCCCCTATAAGGATACTTAACAGCTAAAAGAGAATTACATACAATTGGATAGAGTAATTGATACCAATATTAAATGTATGTGGCATATTACTGGCATCCAAAATCTTTTGAAGAACAGATTCTGAGTATTTTCCTTTTCTTTCTAGTAACCTTTTAAAAATTGCATTAAAATGCCCAATCGATTCATCATTGGATCTTGTATACTTCATGTACGATAATATTTTACATAGTTGTATTCTTTCGGATAAATAATTTTTAAGTTGTTTAATATTGATCATTTTTGTTACAGTTGGGGTTCTATTTATATTACTACATTACCACAGGGGAACTCAATCCAAGTGGGCCAGTACTAGTAGACTCAATATTTATATATAGACCAGATAAACGAATCGAAATATGGAGGTTCCTGTTGTACATGTTATTACATGCTGGGTAAGTGACTAATTAAATATTATTAAGCTTTTTCGTTAATTTTTTAATAATATAATAAATGCGGTTTTTTTTTTTATCATAATTTATCGACGATTTGATGCCTGTTATGCCTATTCATCATTTACACTAGTGGCCAAAATTCTGGAAACTTTACAAAAATTTTAGTTTTGTTAGCAACATTCCTTTTTTCACTATTTAAATGGGAATAAGCCACAATTAAAGGTTAAACTACGTTTATTGACGTCTCAATTTCAACTTCAGAAATCGTTCTCAAAATACAAACATCAGTAAATTAAACAAATTTTGTTTTTTTGTTACTAAGTGAAAAATTCTTCTAATCATTTAATTTTATCCAACTCATTTATATTGACAATTCAGACATACATTATACATTTTAAAGTAGACGACTTTAAAATGATATTGCCAATATTGGTGAGTTGCGCTCCTGGGACGACTTTACTTATAAGATAGTTAATTCGATTACATGAAATCAACTTTAACTTGAGAATATCCGTCAGAAAAAAATCATAGCATGTAATTCGTCTTTAAAAAGACAAACACATGCCATGTTGAGAGTAAAATTCTCCTGTTATTGATTCCATAGTAAATTATCAGGGAAAAACCAGGAAAAAACTTCATAATATTATCCCGACATCGTAAGTATTTGGTCGTGCATTTAGTTTACCTTCAATAAACACCAAATTCTAATTTTATATGTTTATTATTTAAAAAACATAAATGAAGGATACATAATTTTATTATTGTTATTAAATAACAAACATATAAAAATCAGAATTTGGTGTTTATTCAAGGTAAACTAAATGCACGACCAAATACTTACCATGTCGGGATAGTATTATGAGGTTTTTTTCCTGGTTTTTCCCTCATAATTTATTATGGAATCATTAACAGGAGAATAATACTGTCATCATGACATGTGTTTGTCTTTTTAAAGACGAATTACATGCTATGATTTTTTCTGACGGATATTCTCAAGTTAAAGTTGATTTCATGTAATCGAATGAACTATCTTATAAGTAAAGTCGTCCCAGGAGCGCAACTCAACAATATTGGCAATATCATTTTAAAGTCGTCTACTTTAAAATGTATAATGTATGTCTGAATTGTCAGTATAAATGAGTCGGATAAAATTAAATTATTAGAAGAATTTTTCACCAAGTAACAAAAAAACAAAATTTGTTTAATTTACTGTTTGTATTTTGAGAACGATTTCCGAAGTGGAAATTGAAACAACAATAAACGTACTTTAACGGTTAATTGTGGCTTATTGTTAAGCCACAAGAAGATGCATTGTTAAGCATCCCCTTCAAACAAATCTCTGACAGTAGGCAGCAGTAGTATTTCTTCCTGGTATTTTTTACATTAGTATTGCTCTCTATTAATAATGCCAAAAGTCTAACGAAGGAAATCCATACAATGACATTCACAGGTTGTTTCATAGTGACCGTAATACACCGACAAAAAAAGTCTTCCCCTTGTTGGCAACAAACAAACTTCATTCCATCACTTCCAAAGATCGAGATTCTGGTTTGATCACTTCAAATTACCTTACTCCACTGTTCTTCTGTCCACCCTCTGCATATCAAAGTCCAATCAATGCATTTTTGCCTCTGTTTTTTGTTCAGAAACGGTGTCTTCCTAGGGATTCTTACTCGCAATCCATTTTCACACAACCTGATAGTTCGGTTCGATATTTATAAGCAACTTAATTTGATAATGGCATTAAGGTCTTTTGGCGGATCTGATACAAATTTCTAAAACAGGCTGCATAGTCTGCGCTTATCGTATTTACCAACTTTCGGCTTTCTGCTCATTCTTTTTACTGATTTTGTCGTTCCAGTGTATGTTTAGAAACATTACACCTACTTTTGTGGCATCACCACCCAATATGTTTGGTGCTTCTTGATATTTGTAACCTTCTTTCCGAAGGGTAATTTCTTTGGCTCTCTTTCCTGGTGACCAGTCAACACGTTTTGGGTTTCTCGGAGCCATTTTCGTTGAATCGACACTGATGTGTTTCTCTCTGACAATCAATACTAGTGGACAGACGTATTACGTACTACCACAGTTCAACACTGCAAGCGACGCGCCTAGGTGGGTGCCCAGTTAGCAAACGGCAGTATTAGTTAATTTTTATTTAGTCGCCTAGTGATTGCACAATGCCAATGGAAGAAGTATTAATTGCTGCTGTCTTACTCCTCTTCATATTTGAAGCTCTTCAGAACTATCCCTGCCAAGTCATGATGTTTGCACGTTGATGCAAGTAAAGATTTTTCATCATACTGCATTTGCATTCCATTGCTTGTCAAAGTACTCTACTTAAAATCATATATTGCTTCCTCAACGTTATATTGCTGACAAGACTCTGAAAACTGATTCTCGATACCCCTCCACTAAAAAATGTCTTGAATTTAGTAAAAAAAAAGTTCGTAGTTGGTAAGTCTGGTGAGGAGGGGGATAAAAGATGACATTTATGTCATTTTTGATGCAGAAACCGTGAGTGAAATTTAAAGCAAAACCCTTGAAGTTCCCAGTTTTCACTTAACCGCGGATTCTCTTCATTCGTACAACTTCTAGAAAACTCAGCATCAGAAGGAAATAAAGACAATTAATTGTTTAAAATGATGGTGGTAGTAAGTATGTGTTTTTTTCCATAAAAATATATCCACAAAGATGCATGGAAAACACAAAACGATCAACAACAAAAATTGGCCATGTGCTTATTGAGAGTCAATACTACATACTACTATTGACTTACTGACTACTTCTTACTTTCCAGAGAATTAGAAAAGCTACCAAGAATCAATTGGAACTTAAGCATGGAAGAACATTGAAACGTGAAGAAGCAATACACACAATATCTAACGGTTGTTTTATTTTCAACGAGGTTAGAAACAATCCCGTAGAACCATAAATCAGCAGAGAAACGAATCATTTAAGACACTGCAGCATCGTAGACGAAAAGAAAATGATCTATCATCACGGGCTGTAAGGCCATTGATGATAATGAAATAAAAGAAATTGGCAATACATCACTCTTCCAATCGAACAAAAACAGTAAGCATACTACCTAAGCCTAAGTAAAATAGTTATAGACGAAGACTGTATGTTGCACGATCCAAGTTTCACTAAAAGAGGATTGATCCCGCATGCGATGAACTTTGCAGTGTTGTGGCTTCGCCCAACACTGCACTGCGAACAATGCTCCGAATCGCATTGCGCTACGTTGCGGCGTTGCTACACAATTAAAAAAATCCTAGTAACTCTAAAAACACTTAAACTAAACTTCGCCCTCGTATGCTATTATGGTTTTGGTTACAATTTATTTATGAGCGACCACTTTAACAATCGCCTTCACAATATCGTTTTATTTAATCTGATAAGACGAAATTATTTAATAAAAGAAATTTAACTTCAGAACGTAAAAAAGGAAGTCGTTATAAAACAGGATGTAAGTCATTGATGTAATTTAAACACCGTCAATTGCCCTCCATTAGAAATTTTATAAAACTGTGTAAAATTAGTCAAGATCATTAAAAAATTGGGACAGTCTACATACTTCCACTATACCTATCTATTATACCAGGGCTGTTCTAAAAGTTCGTATTAGTACTGAAGGTAAAATGTCATTCGAACAACACCAAAACCACCATTGTAGTTTTTAATTTTTTGAGCTTTATAGACAACCGTTTTGTAGTTATTATTTTTTGCAGTAAAATCAAATTTCTCTTAGAACATTATCATTTTATAGTACATTTCATAAACTTTGATTTAACACACCGCTGGAGAAAATATAGTAAAGTCTCCCAATATTTGAAGCATTGTACGATTGTTGGGAGTTTATCTTTATTGAACAGCCAGCAATTGAGGGATTTGTAGTTGACTGTTTTTATTTGCGTAAAAACAACTTCCTACAATATATAAAATTAACAATATAAAAAAAACTAATTAATTCCCATTACTTACTGTTCTCTTGCTGTCTGCTAAATTATTAAATTATTTAAATTTTTCCCTAATCGGTGACAGTTTGTTTTCTGACGTTTTGATATTATATTTGACATAGTTTATAGAACAGTAGCAACGGGAAATTTTGGGTAACATGATAGAACTAAAAATTAACTAAATACATTTTATACAAATAATAAATATTCGTAACAACGGTTTTAACTGATAATGTATTTTACATTCATATAGAGAAATATATAATTAGTATTAGTGCAAAAGTAGAAGAAAAGTATAAATTCTATTTTTTCTAAATTGTAGTGGTAATTATTTACTGATAAAATAATAACAATAACCCTCAAAAATTTCTTTACTTATTTAAATTGTCTTACAATATAATCAAAAATTAGACCTATATTCATAATCACTGTCGTCGATATCTTCATTTGGATTATATGTAAGTGATGATTGGGTTAATTGGTTAATTGCTTCGATGCGATTTTCACGCATCCAACATTCTTCTATTAACTTTTCACATTTCCACACTTTCTTCACAAATTTCAGGAGAGGTAGTATTTATTGCTTCTTGAAATGTTTCCAAAACTGCTGAGTCACTATAATCCTTTCCTTCAATATAGTTATCGTAGTAAGTTTGACATATCCCGCAAACATGTTTATTGAGATTGAATTCAAAATGCTAAGGACGCAGTCTTAGCACATGTCCAAAACTATGTATAATCTCGCCTACTATGAATATTTCTGGTTTTTCATTCCTTTTGGCTAACTGTAGTAGTTTCGGATTGAAAGAATCCTGAGGAAATAAAATATTTTCATTCACTAACCATTTTGATTTTACGTAATCTTCAGGAATTTGTTGGTTGCTTATTTAAAATTTCCGATTAGTATGGGGAATTATCCAAAACTATAACAGATGGTTGATGAAAACTTGGAAGCAGTTTTTCATTCAACCATTTTACAAACATCTCCGTATTCATGTTATCGTGATAATCAGCCGATTTTGATATTGATAAAAAAACACAAGATCCGCTCCATGAATAAAACCATGGTTTAAACAAACATTGGTGTGTTTTATGAATTTTATACTTTTGTTTTCTCAAATTCATTTTATTCCACCTTTAGCAAAAATTCACGTTTCGTGGATCCACGCACAAATTAAAAAATGAAGGTTGTTGTTTTTTTTAATTATTAGTTTCTTAAATACTCGATTCTTTTGTGGACGACACTATAAGCTCTTTCGCAAAAGGTTTTTCTAGTCTTCCATTTTTAACCTAAACCCAATCTGTTTGAAAACTCTCCAGAGACTTACCTTGTAAATTTCGAATGTATTTTTTTTTCAAATTTTTAACACCGTCGCTACAGAAACATTTTGTTCTTTTCAAGCATTTTATATAGACCTTTAGGGTAAGGGTGTGGACTAAGGTTATATTGTGCGGCCTCTATTTCACTATTGAAACTTTTTCTGTTTTTAAAAATTCTCTTTGAAATTGAGTTTTGTCATAGTAATGCACATTGTATCATATACAGGTTTATGTATGGATTGAAATGGTTATAAAGGGCCTTCATTGGCTTTTCAGCAGTACAATAATATTACTTGATTTATATCTAAAACAGGTCTCGTTATTATCGCTGTCAATGTAGAAACAAACTCTTTGTAATCACAAGTAAAATTTATTAGGGTGCCATTAATTTGCATCCAATTTGGGAGTATCACTAAAGTAAAATATGAGTTTCTGCGAATGGTGAAAAACAGGTTACGGGAGATTCAATAAATATCTACGCTTATGTTAATCTCTGAGCTCACTGATTAGAACCCCATTAAATTCTAGGTAATAACTAATCTAATCTGGCTGTAAAAAGTATTTTACAGGTAAATATAAAATAAAAATATGTTTCAATAATCTAAATCTTTTCATAAACTTGTTAACGTGGAAGGAACTGTCTTTAATGTTAAGCAAAAAAGGTAAGACTGCTAGGTAGACAAACATTTCCTCGTAAATTGTGCAGTGCGCATAATTCAATTTAGAAATTACTTCTTAAATATTTTCATTACTAGAGCTAAAGTGACTTCCATATGCATTCGTTTTATAATCTGTTTATGTAGTATTAATACTATTTTAAATAATATAAAACTAAGAATTCGCAGAAAAACAACCTTATTAAGCTTGCTCATATTATTCTCTATCTATCCCTATTAAAATATTTATTATTTTGTTCCAGATGGCTACATCTAAGCTTCAACCTAGTAGTTCAATTGTTGGTGGGCCTTCCGTTGGAAATGGTCCACGGTTCGGGAAGGGTAGCATTAATCTACATGTCCGGAGTGGCGGCAGGCTCGCTAGGAACGTCAGTTTTCGATAACGATGTTTATCTAGTAGGGGCCTCGGGCGGCGTGTATGCGCTACTAGCTGCCCATTTAGCTAATGTATTGCTCAATTACAATAATATGCAGTGTGGGATCTTGAGGCTATTTGGAATTTTTGCCATTGGTAAGTACCAACTGTTTTTGGATATCTCACTCGACGTTTATACAGAGCCGCCGACGCGACGTTTGAATTTACTTTGTAGTTAGTTACGTTTGAATTAGTTCTAATACAGCATTACTTACCGTCAAGTTGCAAATTATACAGGTTTTTCTAAGGAGTTAAGTATTACATTAAATGGGTTTAAATTTATAATGGGTGTGTTAATTGTATCAAACATTTGCCAGCAAGAGATCATGTTAGTCAAATCTAAATCAATATCCTTCAATAGAACTAAGCAGGAAAATTGTTTAAACATATATGTATGTACTTTGAAAAATAAGGCTATTATCGAGCACAAGTTTAATTAAATCTTGCCCAAGTACTTTCGCTTAAAATAGCATCTTCAGGGGCATTTTGTCAAATATGAGCTATCCAGCAAGCGTAGAATGTGAAAAACATAAATAATAACATAAAATTGTACAAAACACTACACTAAAACAAGGACAAACAGTTTAAAATTATTTAAAAGATTCTACGCACTAAATTCTTTGTCAGTATCAGGAGGGAGAAATGATTTCTCCCTCCTGATACTGGTGACAAAGAATGTAGTGCGTAGAATATATGTTTTTCACATTCTACGCTTGCTGGATAGCTCATATTTGACGAAATGCCTCTGAAGATGCTATTTTAAGCGAAAGTACTTGGGCAAGATTTAATTAAAATTGTGCTCGATAATAGCCTTATTTTTTAAAGTTCATTTACTCGTGCATTCAACCTTATATCAATTATATATGTATGTATCTAGCTTGTATTGCATATACAGAATTGCCTGCAAGATCGAGGCCAAGAAATACAACCGTCAGTTTTGAGAAACAACCCCCGTAACAACGGAAATCGAAACATTAAACAGTAGTTAAAAATGTAATTTTTCATTACAATCAATCATGGCTTAATCGCATATACACAAGATATTTAATGAATGATACTGTTCAATAATTTTCTTTCATACACATTTTTAAAATGTCGTTTTTCTTTTTAGCTTCTTGTGATGTTGGCTACGCCATCTATTCCAGATATGATTCCGTGGGCCTTCCAGTTTCCTACGTAGCCCATCTCACCGGAGCTCTAGCGGGCCTGACGATAGGGCTTCTAGTGTTGAAGAATTTCGAGCAGAAGCTGCACGAACAGCTTCTGTGGTGGGTAGCTCTCGGTGTGTACGCCGCCTGTACCATCTTCGCTGTTCTGTTCAACGTCATGAACAGAACAGACGATGGCGGAGAAAATCTAGGAGATGGCGTCAATAGCCACTATGTAATGTTTAGTCGATGGGGGGTATAACCGTTGTTTGTCTAGTTCTCACTAGTTTCCAGAGGCTGTTCATTTATTTATAAGATTTTTTATGTAGATTTATATTATAGTATTTATTGAAGATTTTCCGAGAGTGGTACGTTAAGAGGTACAAATTGGTTGAAGAAAATAAATGAACAGACTTAAATCTTAGTCGGTAACATTTTGTGTTCAATGTAAACTTTCTTTACAGGAATCTTTATTTCTCATATATCTACTATATATATTATCAATAAATATATAAAGTATGAAACCAAAAACTATTGTAAAGATTCTTTCGAAAGGAAGTATTCTAAAAAATGTGATTTCATAGATAATTCATGAATCTATTTGTGAAAATCCATTTAATACTTGGATAGTGTTGGATATCCATTGGTGCAAGTCTTTATATTGCACGCAGATTTTTGTACTGATTTTTCCGTCTACTCTCCTCATCCTTACCTAATAGATAGGTTTCTTATATTTAAAAAGTTTGTTAAAAGAATTCGTGAATGAGTATGTTTTGTACACTATATTTATGTATATATTTTATTTATTTCTAATATCAAACCAAAGACTGAGTTGGATAAAAGTTTTGTAGAATATAGTATAGAAAATAGAAGTTACTGTTGATGTTTACGAGCACTTTAGGTAATTTTGTACAGCTGTTACTTAAGCTGGCCTGGTAAAGTATGCTGTAGTCAATAAAAATATAAAATTGGTAACATTGTATATAAAATCTGCGAAGATTTTGCTTTATGCTGTTCTGATCAGATATAACTATGATTTTCACCATGATTATCATCTTTTTTATCTTCTAAAACGTCATTATTGTCATTACTATAATTTCTAACGTCATTTCTATTACATGTAACGTTATTGTCCTAGTTTTAAGATCACTTTCTTTATTTTCAGCATGATACTGACCATATTAGGACATCTTTATTTTCTAAATCATCCTTTGGTATCTTCAGTACTACGTTCTTCAAGTTTATTAATGATCCTCGCCATTTAAATCATCATTATTGCCAATATTGTAATTATCAACATCATTTTTAATAATCTGCACAGTGATCCTCTCAGCTCAGAACATATTTGTGGTCTGGTTAATTTCATTAACTTCTACATCATTATCAACATTTCTGCCATGTTAAAAGCAGTCCAATCATCTATAACATCATTATCATCATCTTGAAGATCAATATCATCATTTTCACCGTCTTAAACTTTATTCATGTCACCACCATTATTTTGTTCATACTATGCTCATATGTATATTAATTGTCTTTGCCATTTAAATAATCATTATTGCCTATATTATAATTATCTACGTCATTTTAATTATCTTCAACATCATTAACACAATTTTCATCATCTTCAAAGCGAAACTGCCACCTCAGAATATTTTTATAGTCTATATCATTAACTTTTGCATTATTCTCAATATTTCTGTCATCTTAAAAGCAGTTTAGTCATCTTCAAAATCATTATCATCATCTTGAATTCCAATATAATCTTTCTCGTCATCTTAAACTTTATTATCGCCATCTCATCAATTTTCACCATCTTAAGCAGCCCTATTATCCTAATTATCTTCTGTCATCATTATTATCACATATCATCTTTTATATTTTTTTCAAACCTTTAACATCAATATAATTATCTGCAACATCATTCTCAGCATATCAAATATCGTCATGTGTCTATCAATCTCGCCGTCCTTATACCTATGTATCATTTTTTCTTGTAAGTATTTGAGTCACACAGATAATATTCAAGAGTAACTTCTATTGTATTATTTAGAATAAGTCACAAAAATGTTTCCAAACTGGAGGTGGGCACTTGTATGAAAACAATTAACTGAAGACTGTTCTTTATTAGGTGATGTTACAGATATTACGGTGTAACTACACACCTCCAAAGTTTGGATCAAAGTAATTTTTACTTGCACCAGTTGTTTAATGGAACAATCGCTTAAATAACGTTCAAGCAAAATTTATATAAGATAAAAAAGGAGAATGGTTACAAACGCATTCCAGAGCATATCAGTGCATTCCAACTCATTGACTTATGTACCAAGTTTGGGCAAATGATTCTCCTGTCACAAATACTTTAAATCCTTTGTTTCAGCGATTATTCCAAACGTTGTGTAAGTTAAACCACTGTTCTCAGTGATACAATAACTAGTCATAATTTAAAATAATAAGCAAAGCTTACCAAAGAAAGTGCTAGTTACATAATATATACACACACATACACTCGAAACTACAAAAATATGCCTTACTAAGGTAGAATACCACTATCACAAAGAAAATATTGTATTTTTATACTCAGGTAGAAACAGTGTTATTAGACATAGTTTTGATAACTATTCAAATGTCTTCAGATGTTCAATTTTTGTTTTTTAACACCGTTGCTGTTGTGCTTAAGCAACTGTTCTGTAAAAAGCAGAAAGAATTAAAACTATTTAAAATTTAACATTGATTTTTATTTAATTATCCTTATTTAGAGTAGTTGGTATATCCTAATTTTCGTTTGTATCTTTATCGTCCTCAACGGAGTATCATAGCTCTTATCGAAATCGTATCAAATATCGAAATTCTTTAACATCCAAAAGAAAAGTAATTACTATTTTAATGGGAATAAGCCACAATTGACCTTTAAAATAAGTTGTGTTACGTTTCAATTTCCACTTCGGGAATTGGTCTCAAAGTACAGACATTAATAAATTAAACAAATTTTGTTTTTTGTTACTTGGTGAAATATTCTTCTAATAATTTAATTTTATATCATTTATATTGACAATTTAGACATATATTATACATATTAAAGTAGACGACTTTAAAATGATATGTTCATTTTATTACATGAAATCAACTTTAATTTGAGAACATCAGTCAGAAAAATCTTAGCATATGATTCGTCTAAAAAGACAACCGCGTGTCATGGTTACAGTAAAATTCTACTGTTAATGCTTCCATAGTCAATCATGAGGAAAAAACCTCATAATACTATCCCAGCGTGGTAAGTATTTGGCCTTACATTTAGTTTACTGACAATAAAGTAACAAAAAACAAAATTTGTTTAATTTATTAATGTTTGTATTTTTAGAATCTAAATGGAAATTGAAACGTCAATAAACTTATTTTAAACTTCAATTGTGGCTTATTACCATTAAAATAGTAATTACTCCTCAGCAATTCCCACCAAAATGCTTCAAGAAATTAGTTTCAGAACAAAATCAAAAGAAAAATTTTGTTTTATATTGAACCATTTAACTGACAGTTGTGCAACCAACAATGCTTAGATCTGTATTATTACCATCGCGATGATTATTACTTACAAAACAATTCGAGAGAATTGGCTCATGGGACCTACTCAGACGCCCTGAACGATGTTTGCGTTATTTAATTTTGGCGTAAAGTTAACTAATACCGGCAAACAACACTTCATTCAATAGTTTATCAAACGAAATACGTACAAATTACTGGTTTAATACGATATATCTTGAAGTCTCCATTTTCTCTCTTGCGAAGATTTCCACTTATTCAATCCTTGTATTCTTCTTCTTCAAGTGTCCTCTCCGCTACGGAGTTTGGCGATCATCATTGCTATTCGTATCTTTGAAGCTGTTGCTTTAAGGTTGATCTTCACCCTCGATTAATTTGTTTCTGATCCTAGAGATGGCTCTACTGCGGCATGCTACTGTGGTAAATTTTTTAACTTAATTGTAGATTTCTACATGACGACTCTGTAATATTTTTAAATCCTAACATAAATTGCAGTTTTCTGTCATTATATCAATTGGCTGAGTTGCCAAGTTGTGTAGACAGTAATTTTATCAAATATGCTATAACTTATATGGTTACTAGTAGACCAACTAAGCAACGATATCTTATAACAACATCTTTATGTATAATACTTTACTGTTCTGCTATGTCAGTCGGAATATAATATACCAAATTCATTCATTATCTAAACAATTTTACCGACAAAGAAATTATGTATGTTGCGGCTTTGTTTGTGAGTATAGTATTACATACCATTAAATTCGTACATCATATTATATTACATTTTTGTTGATAGTTAAAAATTAAAAAATGATCTGGTATTATAATTAAGTATAATAATATTTTAGTGGAAAATGACAAAAATGTTATTTAAATCTGTTTATTAATATCTATTACTATATGTCTTTATGGATTAATAAATTTTACTATGTCTTCTTCTTCGGTTATATTTATATTTCTTATTTCATGCTTCATTGTTCTGGCTTTATTGGTCTGTTTATTCTTATAATTTTTCTTTTAATAATTCTTACTTTTTCTTCATCGTTTTTCGTAAGACACATTACTTCCGCCCTTTATGCTATCATCTGCTTTTTGCTGTTTTTTTTTTATTTTTAAGTAGTGGGTGATATTTCCAAAACACCCCGTTCTTTTCCCGCCTTGTGTTCTTGGTGGTCATACGTTGAATGTATGATTTGGAGTGGTTGATGCGTATTTAGTTATTACGGTTCTATTTGGTCCATTTAGTTCTTCAGTTTCCGTATTCGACAATTTTATAACGCCAAATGAGGACTATGTGAAAGGTGTTATTGCGTATGTGTTTATTGCTTTTACTATGTGCTTGGAATTAAATTTGCTTTTGAGTATTATCCAGATTTAGCCATACGGCTCACCCTCCCTCTAAGAGGAAAATTCACTCATCCCAGATACCTACGGTATCAAAAGGATTGAGCTCTGGTGGGACTCTTTCTATATTATTGAGCCCTAGGTGACTTGGTATGCTGGAGTATCTCCCAAAAATTTTCGTAGACATCTGGACGTCGCGAGGAGTACAGCTTTATGTATGGCATTATAAAGATGTTCATTTAGATCCAGCTGTTTTATGTTCGCTAGGTGATTTTTGGGAATAACACGAATAACATGAGTATCCAGATTTCACTCATCCCAAATACCTACGGTATCAAAAGGATTGAGCTCTGGTGTGACTTTTTCCATGTTATCGAGTCCTAGGTGACTTGGTACGTCGGTGTATCTCCTAAAAATTTTCGCACGCATCTCGACGTGGAAAGTAGCACAGCTTTCTGCATGAACTTATATAGATGTTCATTTAGACCCAGCTTTTTTATGTTTCTAGGAGGTTTTTCGGAATGACTCCAGTGGTAGAAAGAATAATAGGTATCGTCTGGGTACTTTTCATTCTCCATTGTCTTCTTATTAGTATTTCCAGATATCTGTACTTGGAGATCTTTTCATTGTACTTAACATGCAGATTATTGTTGTTAGGTATCGCCACATCGATTAGAGTTGTTTGTCTTGTTAGTTTATTAATAGCACGAGATCTGGTCTATTATGTGCTACAGTTTGGTCTGTGAGCACAGTGCGATCCCAGTATAGCTTGTAGTTGTCATTCTCAATCATACTCTAAGGAACGTATTGATAATATGGGAGATGGTTTGTTTGTAGAAATCCCAGTTTAAAAGCTATCTCTTGATGGGGATTTTCGCTACTGAGTCATGCCGTTCCTTATATTCAGTTGAAGCAAATGCCTGGCAGCCTCCGCTAAGATGTTGGATAGTTTCTTGGGCTTGACAACAATATCGGCATTTGTTGTTTCGGACCTGAGGGTTTTTGACGATATATTTCAGGTAATTTTTGGTTGGTACAACCTGATCCTGAATGGCGAGTAATAAACCTTCTGTTTCAGGAAACATCTTTCTTGATGTCAGCCAATAGTTCGACGCTATATTGTCGACATAGTCTTGACTGACTTCATTCGGATGTCGCCCGTGCAGAGGTTTACCCATCCAGATGCG